AGTAATTATGCCAAAGGCTTGTGTGAGGGAGGTAGTTTATGACCATTGAATAAGGCCAGCTATGTTTACCTATACAGCTTCATCACTTGAACTAAAAATTGGTCTTACCGCTAAATCTCCCTCATTGCTTCATTTGCCTGATTGCAAACAGATCTCAGAATATGCAGTTGCACTAAGATGATTGATGCCAAGATGCTGCACTGAAAAGGAAGAATTCTTTTAAGTGTTATCACGACCATGAGCATAAGCAAAGCCGTGTCACGTGACAAAATGTAAATAGAGCATTTCTTAGAAAAGCCATTTATTTGCCCCCATGATTTATTGTTCAGTGACAAGCAGGCTATTTTTTCTTTGTTACTGGCACTCATGTTCATAATAACAAGGTACTTGACTTGAAGGTATTTGGCCAACCTTTCCAAAGTGCTATGTAAGCAGTAATCAGAGAGAGCTAGGCTCGCGAGTCAACAAATTGCTCTCCCATGCTGATCAAACAGTCTTGGCATCTCTATAAAAAAAAAATACAAAACCAGATTTTGGACTGGCTTACGCAGTTTTCTCTCTAAAATTTTTTATTGTATTTGCATTTGGCAGAGCCCAGGCTTAAAATAACCAAAGGTGACAGTTGTTTTATTAGCAATATTTTACATGTGATTTTCATTTACATTTAGAAGGATATATGAGATAGCCAGTTAGCCTCCAAAGTTCTTGTTGCCATAAATTGGGTTTCATTTGCTCAATCTAGAGGCAAATGCTTCTCTCATTTTACACCATACCTCCACAGCCTGCAGTAGAAAACAGTCTAATACTTGGGTCAAAGTTAGTCAGCTCAGTAGAGCTGAGGTTTATTGTGAAAAGCTTTCATTCCAACCTACTCCAAGTTATTACTATTAAAGCAAGTAACAATCAGATATACTGCACAAGCTGCTTGCATTACCAGAGGGGAGAACTCAGATCTAAGTGGGATTTATACTCAGTTTCCATCATTTATGCCTATCATATGTGCCTACAAACCAGGTCCTAAATACAAAATATACATTCCCATACTTAATCTTGTTACTTCACTGTGCAAATTAATGCTTTAAAATGAAATATCTGTAGTTGTGTATCATCTCACTGCTTCTGTGTGCAAAGTGAGTAGGGCTGCATGAATAATTGCATTTATTTTCACTCTGACTGCTGAATTAAAAATATTTTGGAAGCTTGCGTTAAATGGGTGGAACTCCTCTCTCTTCTCTCCTCTTAATTTTTTTTTTCCATGAAATAAAAAAAGAGGAAACCTCATGTGCATTGAAAAGCTCCTTCTGACACCCAAAATGAAACACTTCATTTTTGGACATACATAGTAAAAGCAAAGGAAATTAAAAGGCCAGATTTCCTAAAGCAAGAAGTGGTGTTCTTCCCCTTCTTATTCAGTAGCCAGTAGGCAAGAGATAAATTTTTTGGTTTCCTCAGGTCTTCAAAACTGCTATCTCCCTTCAGTGGAGATTCCACTCACCATCCCTCAGCTTAAGGGGGACAACCAGGCTGTGACTTTCCACGCAGCTTGCCCGCTGTGCAGCTTTCCTCCATATTGCCTGTTTTGTGCTGGCCCGGGCATGGGAGCAGCTCAAGGGAAGATGAGGTGAGGTGTCACTGCCTGAACCAGATGCCTCCAAAGTAGCAGGTTATCCTGCTGTAGACAAGATGCTCCCCTAAGGTACAGCCCTGCAGGTGGAAGCTCTTCCAAACAACCTCCTTTTGGTCCTGCTTTGGTTTGTCTGTATAGTGAGCTGTTCCCTAAACCCAAGGGCTGCTTATTCTTAGCGAGGGAGCCCTTCCCATCAGGCTACACAGTTATGCTGCCTTTTAACCAAAGGGTTATTTCAGCATTTGGTTTCTACCAAAGTGCTGTTAAAATAGTTTCACTTATTGCAGGACCACAAACATCTGTTAATTATGGGTCTGGGGTTTATTTATTTATTTATTTAAATAGCTAGGTCTTATTGACCTTCACTTAAGCACTTTTGAATATTTTACCCCATATAAAGACTGCTGTGTTGAAAAGTGCTAACAATTACCATCATGGGAGTCTTGGATTCAAAGACAGTTTGCAGACCTTGTTAAGCCAATGAGCTTGCCAAGTCCACTCTTTTCAGTTCAATGAAACTTAAGTCCCTTCATATAGCAAACCAGCTGCTAGCAATGTAGGCTGCCTGACATGGGCAGGGAAAGCTCAGCTCACCCAGGGAGACTTCTCTGTTTTGGTACCAGAAGACACTGACTCACTAAGGGAGCTGTGAGCTAAAATGCAGCAGGATGACAGAGGTTTTTCAACATAGGGCTGATCAGTGAAGCAGTCAAGACCTCTGAGCTAGACGAAAGTCTCCTGGTTATCTTGTGTCACAGGAAACACGACTTCTGTACAGTCTCTGTCAAGAAACATAGTTAAAGTAATAAATCTTGACCAATGCAGAGCAAGGTTTTCCTAGCCCAGCTAGGGATGGACTACCATGCTGCATCACGTCATTGAGAATTCTTGTCTTGCATACAGAAGAAAAGCAGATTTTTGAGAAGTTTGGAGAAAGTAACATAAGCAAAACCAACTCTTTGAAGAGAGGTAAGATGCTCTAGGCATTCAACAGATCGAAAAGCTAGACTACATATTTGCATACTAAATATGGAGGTAGGAGAATGCCTCAGGCTAGACAACAGTGTTTCTATACTTTACAGCTGTGTGTGAAGGGACGACTGCAGGCACCCCTGTACATCAGTTTGAGTGAAGCAGATCAATCTTACATTATCACACCCATATACATAGGGCAAGAGTAGTTTGGAAGCTTTCATTCTAAAAGAAGTGAGAAGCATAGTAGCATTGGTATTCCATCAGGGAACTCAGAAATAAGAAGGCAATGCACAGGTGCACAAAAGAGTTTAGACTACTGAATTCAGTGCTGTTTAGGCACTTTTTATCTGTGAGGGAAAGGAAAAGCTGTGAAAATACATGACAGGTTGTTATGATCTGATTATTGAGAGATGCCTCTGCCTGAATTAAGATGGAGATGAGACCATATGCTGACGTAAATAGTATGAATTTTATTTAAAACTCCGTCCTTTCCCTTGGTTCTGTCATCCTCAGCTCAGGATGTTTTCAAACGAGTATTTTCAAAGGGCAAGTCTCCTTTCCACTCTACTTGCACTGAAGTTGTAAAGATGAACCCTCGCATTAACTCAGCACAATTCCTCAAGGTTTTTTTGGCCAAACCCACTCTGCTATATTTAGGACTCTTTCTAAATTTGTATTCTACCATACATCCTTGTACGCACTAATCCAGTATAAAACCCAGAAGCTGCCCAAACATAATTCCCAAGGGGGATATAAGTGAATACCTCACTATGGTATGGCCATTAACAAGTTTTATGGAAATAAGAAAATAATACAAGATTTGCTCTGGAACAAAAATACATGATAAAATTTCCTAGTGAACATTTTTGAGACATTGTGTTCATATTTAATTTACAGTTTCCTAGTGTTTATCTCTTCAGGTGGAATTTTACATATTAACCATTGGTAAAACACACTCCATTTTGTAATTCCCTTATCTTACTTAAATAGGGGACAGATAGCAACTTCTATATGTGCTCACACCTTGCTAATAGAAAACAGTGATGTATTGAAAATTTCCTTATCACTTTCAGTTTCCATACAGGTGTTCTTGGTGATAAACTACTGAATGATATAAACAGTGATTTCAGGTAAAAAGTAACCACTGGTCAAGAGGAAAGGAAAAAACAAACATACCAAAAATTAAACCCCATTTCCCAAGTAGGATTTGGAACTGAAAATTATCAAATACAAGAGCATAAGTGTAAATTATTTTGCTGTGTCTGTGAAGCACAGAATCCCTTGGACTTCCCTTTAGTAATGCTTGCTCTCACTTCTCACAACTTCTCTTCCATTTTGAGATAATCTTGACAGGCAATTCACAGATATGTTAAGGAACTGTATGATATTCCCTTAGTTTTACCCAATGATAATATTCATCTGTCCACTGGCAGGTTTGTCTCCAAGGGATGTTATCACAGGACAGCTGTTCTACTGTTATTCCTGAACAACAGCAGTAGGAGAGTAATTCTGGAAGAATTACTGAGCTAGCTTGATTGATTTTCAGTTGAACTGTTATTATTTCTGTGACTGTTCTTTTATGATGCACTAGAGATCATTTAAACATATTTAAATTAGCTAAACAGTGTTGCTGCCATTGTGCAATGAGTATATTGAATCACCTCAGATCCATAGAATATTGTAAAAGTTAATGTTCTACATTGCCTTTGGTTATTTTCATTTTTGTATTCCGAAGAAAACTTGTATTCTCTAACCACTACTAATTTCTGCCAAGTGGACCACTAGCAGCCTAAAAAAGAAGCAAATGCACACTTGTTGTAAAAGTGCATGGCCAAACCTTTGCACCTGTGAAGGCCACAGCTTTCTGGACAAGGTCATTAGGGACAAAACTGGAAACCCCAGTATGTGACGATGCTTTTGAAAATCCAGCCTCTCACTATTTTCCACCATCTGCATTAATTATCCAATAATGGGATCAACTAAGATTAGTAATACATAAGCCCCTTCATGAAATGCAGAGGAATAGAGTATCAGTTCAACAGAAGCAGGAATTCAAACATACATTTAATTTCACAAGAAACATTCCAAGATTGTCTCTCAGGCTTTCTCCACAGCAACACAGACTGTGCTCCCTGTCAGGACAGGACTCTGGCTTTACATTTATTATTGATGTGCCACTAACAGACTTCACTGACTGCACACAGCCAGGCAGACATCACCATCACTGGACAAGAGCACCAGACTCCTTAGTCTAAGGGGCAGCGCTGCCCTTCTCTTATCAATTCCCTTTAAAGTTTTTGCCACCTTATGAGGAATGGAATAAAAGGTACTTTCAAAAAATGGTCCTTTTGCTTTTTGCTTGAGGGGAAAAAGTTTTGTTTTGTTTTTTTTTTTTTACTTTCTCAGTGGCTAATAGATAATTTCTCTAGGACTTATTGAGTCCTGTTGAGCAGGGAAATCCATATTTCTCAGATTTTGGAGGTATCTTTTTGTGTTTAAAAACATTATAATGTCACACCTATCAAATTTCTCTCCTATTTCTGCCTCACATGATTTCTGTAATGGTTTTATGCCCCAATTATGTCTTCCATTTCTTGGTGTCTACCGACTTCTGAAACTTGGAGCAAGACACCAGGTTGATAAGTTTGGTTTGGTTTGGGGTTTTTTGCCTTCCTTTTATCAAAGCCAGCCAACAGCTTAAAAAAAGTAATCATGAATATTTTCCATAAGGTCAAATGTTGTCTGAATAGGTTTCTTTTGGCATCTACAAGAGTTACCAAGTTAAAGGTAGAGATTTCAAAGCTTAGAATGTGTGAATTAGTAATGGCAGGATTCAGCAGATCTTAGGTTTCCAAAGCTTCCAGTTTCTCAGTAAGAGATGCAGAGTCCTAGTACATAGGCACATCATGCCACCACACAGCTGAACAGCATCCTTACCACATCTACTTAGCACATATTCCTTTCTCAAATCCTCTTATAGAGGGTTCTTCACTCAAGGTGGGTGGCAGTAGGACTTCAAATCACAAGCACCACTAGCAGAGTGGTTTTCTGAGGGCAACTGTACAGAATATCCAATATATCTTGATTATTCCTAAGCATTCTTGATAAGTGTCAGATATGCTTAACACTTCAATAAAGCTTTCCATAGGAATAGGACCCCATAGGTATAATTTAACATGCATTAACCAAAATGGAGTAAAGCTCTTGAAGTGTCTTTGCATTCTTGAGATCTGTTGCCTTATTTTTATTTGGATTGCCACAAGCAATCACATAGGTATTTTTTGTTCTTGTTGCAGTTCTTGCAACTTGAGTATTGGCTGTGGATTGTGCCTCGAACATCATCACCACCAGTTCTGTCTCATGTCCTTGACTTTTCCTTACTTTGCTCAGTCAGGGTCCAGTTGGATGCCACTATGTGTCAGAGTCCACAAGGAGGCATGGGGTCTGAGAGTGGATTCTCATGAGAAAGACAACAAAGTGAACAGGAAATGTCCCATCAGGAATCCTTTCTTGGGACGGGCTCCTGTGGAAAAGAACAAACCCTTATTGTCACTATTGCAGCTTTAACTTTATATTCTTGTGCTCATCCTTTGATTCATTCCCTCTCCCCCCACTCTATTCCCATCCGACGGGTGGGAAACAGGATATTTTGTGAAATTCTTTCCTTCCTGTGTGGGCCTACAGGGCATCTTTAATTAGCAACTCTCTGCAATGTAAGTGAACAATTAAAAAGCACAACCGTCCTGCTGAGGAGATCATAATACAGTTGCTTTTTGAACAGGTATTTAAGGCATCACTTTCTGTCATTTACGAAGATCATTGATGTTATTATTTAAAAATATCACACATCAAAAAAAAATTTAAAGCACTTCCTTACATAATGAGTGGTGAGGAAGAGCTTTACAAACATTGTCTGTCTTTGTGTCCCACTGGAGAAACTGTGATGCAAAGGAGTGATGGGAAGGAAACCTCTGCCTGCTTCCATGGACAGAGCTTCAGCCTGCTGGAATGTGCCATTTCACCTGGAATGAGCAGGAACACTTGTTTCATTAATAACTTGACCCAGGAGCTGATCAGAGTGACATGTCCTTCTATAGACACCCACTGTGGTTGAAAAGATTTTTCTGAGGGTGGGATTTGACACTATGGAGGTACAGACAGCAGTGCTGCTTTGGAAAGAGATCAAAGTAGAGACAAGCCTGGCACACTCAGAGGACCTGAAACTGATCCTTACTTACCTAGTTCCATAGATTGGTAGGTGTAAAATGCTATTAAGTCTCATCTGGCAGGACTGTCCTTAAATACCAGCGGTCCAAGTGATAGCACTCAACTTCTGGATGTCCAATAGGGTTGACCTATCCCCTTGTCCAGACTCACTATGCTAAAATTTTCTTTTCCCACTGGTATGACTATACAACCCTAGGGGACATTAAGAGGATCCTTCTGTCTGATTTTCTTTCTTTTTTTTTTTTTTTTTTAATTTGAATATCTGATGTTTTACCTGGCACCTGGGAAAACTCATTTACAACACTACAGAACAGCATACACTCATTTTGTGAAAACAAACATTAACTGCACAAGAAGCTAGATCAGGGAAAAACCAGGATCTCTGAGCCACTGTGGCACTCCAAAATTTGGGGCTATGAACTAAGAAAACTGCAGAACAAAGTATGGGGTTGTGCTATTACTAAAATATCTGTCATATCCCAAAAGTGTCTGAAGGTTGGTTTGCAAATGTGTAGGATCTCACCAGACTGTACATCAGATCTGAGAAGAGTCTCATAGATAGAAATAAGAAGATTTTTTTTTTTCATGATGAGCCTGGGCACCAAATCTCCCAACCACTCTCTCATGTTGTCACAGCAACAGGTTTGTCCACAGCCACTTTGCAATATAAAGCAACTGGAGGCTGATTTTCATACAGATCTAATCATGAACCAAGAATGTGCTTGGTCATATTCATACTGGGACTGCATGTCCCAAGTGAACTTTGTACACCACGATAAATTGGCTTGCAGATGAAAACAGAAACTGCTATGAGTAATGACTGAACCTGTAACTCTGCACAAAGATTAGTGTGTGAATATTGCTAATGGCATTAAGTGTCTTTATCACATCTTGTAAAGTGTTATCAATCAAACTACAGGTGTTAAGCAGGTAAAAGCTCTAGTTTGAGGCAATAGATAAGAACTTTTCCCTTGAATCTTAAGCACTGCTTCCTACTAGAGCTTTCCTGAGAGAAAGTGTCAGGATATCAAAGGGAAAAGGAGAGATCCTTTTTTTTTTTTTTTTTTTAGGCCTTGGGGCAGAAGAGGGAGGGGATTTTGTAAACAGTTTTAGGAGAAGCGTTATTGACCTATCAAAATTACTTCAAATACCAATCTCTTCTCTGCTCAGGGCTCCTGCAAAAGCAAGCTCTGCAGAAAAGGCTGAGATACCTCCACAGAGCCGCACAAAGAAACTCTCAGAGCTGGACCCACATTCTCTTTTAAAATGCATATATAATCCTTCCTGCAAGGACAGAAACAGCTGCATTTATAGGAAGGAGAAAGAAGATACCTATACCTGGTTTTAGTCTGAACCACAAGTTTGTATTTTTGACTGAAAATCTGTCAAAAGAGTGACCAAATTTTTTTCTGAAATGAACAATTTTTTCTGAAACAACTTTATACTTTCTTCCTAATACAAGAAAGAGAGGGAATTACCAAAAGAAAGACGTATGTAATGTTAGATGTCCTAAACAACTCAACACTAGGGGGAGAAGTAAAAGTCATTTTCACTTCTGTAGTTAGTCAGAGGCTTCAACTCATATTTTAAGGCAGACAAGCTCTTTGATAGTCATTTTACAATCCGGGAAGAGAGGCAGGGATGTACCCAGGGACTTTATTTGGGGCAGGCACTAGAAAGCAGAGACCAGAAACTTGGCTCCAAGTTGCAGTTTTGAGTTCCAGCTTGCCAACCTGAACTCTAAACCATGGAAACTGCAAGCCAAAGCCAATCCTGAAAACAAACAGAAAACCAAAACATTAAAAAAAGTGCTAGGTTAAAGCCCTTCAAAATCCTGTACATATAAACTGATACCGAACTATCTACCTCCCAGCACAAAACACTGCAGATGAAACAAAGCCAATCTCCTCATACACATTTTTAAATGAACTGATTTTGTCATGATTTCAGCCAGAATTTGAGTGTGCTGTAGGTTCAGTTAAAACTTTTTTAATAGTTATCTCATATTGCAGGGATCATCCCCAGTGGCCCCTCAACTATCACAGAGAGTGTTATGGTATTTTTCTATTCAATGGTATCAGTCTATTCAGAAAGGCAATGCCTCTGGAAAGTTGAGAATTTTTTCTGTCTCCAAACTGACAGCGGATCAAAATGCAAACCCTGACTCTGAGCCCTTTGGATGCTGGAGACAATAGCCCTGGACTTGTCAACCCAGTTTGCTGTGGTCAGCCTGGACTTGTCAACCCAGCTGTACCATGGTGTGGTCCAGATATGGACCAGATGCCCAGCTACTGCACTAAGAAATATATACCAGATAATTTACTCCATTTACCACGCGAACCTAACAGTAGTAGTTTAGCCCCTGTACTGAATAGTGCAACCTCAGTTACCAAGATTGACTGATTGGAGTAATTGAAGTGATCTTACTTAACACTTGCCTTAAATGATCTGGCAGTCTGATTCAGATAAGATTTCAAACAGTCTCTGTGCTTTTGATCTCAAATTACCTTCAGGATTAACTCAAGCTTGGTTCAGACACAGTAAAAAAAATCTCTCAATTATGTCTTACACCGTAACCATGCTCAAGCCCTCTTCCCAATTTCACCAGCTTAATTAAATCTCCTCTCAACCCAGTTGTGCTAGGGATGTTCTGAACTGTAGGACAGTGCTGGGAAGCTGAGGGGGAGAAGCAAGACAGCATCTACAGAAACTCCTGTGGCTGAAGAGTGGTGGCAGGAGGGAGAGTCTTCTCTGCCTCTTTTTTTAAATGCTGTGATTTGATGGATGCTTTCTTGTGTCTCTGGTACACAAAGAAAAGTGTCTGTGAGCAATAAGATCAAGAGACAACATGCCTTTTCAGCACAAGTGACATTAAATTAATTTATACAAGACACCGGTCAAAACCCATTTCTACCACTGAAACCTCAAAGCAAGACTGAGACTTTAAGGAGCTTTTCTTCTGCTTTCTGTTCACTTCACAGGACTGCTTCAGACAGAAACACTTCTAACATTTTGAAGGCACACTACACAAGTACGATTTCTTTTAACATAAAAAGACCCATTTTGTTATAAGTATTTGCTTTTAGCAGCTCTGTTCCTCTGTGCATTCCTTTCCCAGGTAGAGTACAGGTGCTTCAGGGCAACTCTAAAGACAATTTTCAACAGTGGCTTAGGAGCCTAGCTACTGGTTTTCTAAACAATATGCCAGCTAAGCAGACACACAGATGCCTGTTAGAATCAAGTTACTTCTGTAGCTAACCTCATACAATAAACTCTCTCAGGCAGCTTATTTACAACCTGAGGGAAAAATACACCTTTGAAAATTGTTTTCTAAAGGTACTCTGGCTCACATTTCTCTGTTCATGCTTGGGCTTTGTGGTATTAATTCTCAGTTCTAAAAATGAGGGAGGTAGCTAAGCTCAGGTTTCTAAAAGTACATAGGTGTGAATAGCTGCAGACGTGTGCACTGGTACCTCAATCTTGCTGAAATCTGTACCTATGGTTTGCAGCCCTCTATTTATCATTTACCCTTTGCTACTGTTGAAAGAAGCAATGCAAAAAGACTTTGACAAAGCTGTTCCTAAGGAGCAAGATTACTTTAGAAGGTGATTTGAGGTTCTTAATTCCCTTAGAAATGCTCCACATTTTTTACCTCAGGTCTACAGAAGTGTTTGTGTATCACCTCAAACCACAGAGCCTGATTTTGATTAGGTTGTGGGTACCAGTGCTAGGTTATTGTTTTAAGATAGCATCATGGAAAAACTTCAGTTATAACTTAATTAATTCAAACACTATCATTACTTTTGAATAGAAGCATTTTATCCAAGCAAAGGATCACCCCTGAGTGACTGTATTTGTACTGCAGAACCACCACGGCTCTAGGGTTCAGCTAAGGTCTGCAGTCAAAGTTATTGCATTAACACTTATGTTATAGTGCTGCCTACAGGTCCATATTTAAAATTAGGGTGTTATGCTAACTTATGTTTAAACAAGGCTCCTGTTCCAAAGCTTAGAAAACAAGCAAGATAAGAAAGGTATCAGAGAAGCTGAACCCATTTTTACTTCTCTTGGTTATGTTTGTGTATGTAACTGAATGCATTTCTTCCACTGCTCTGAAGCCACTACAGAGTGGCTGGTTTAGCAGTAGAGCTGTGTATGGGAAAGCAATTTAAAAGGAAGAAAGGGATTATGGTATTGTGTGTATTAGGGGTGCTGTGGAGGAAAGCACAGCGATACCTAGAATGGCAGCCCTTCACATAACAGACAGGTAGGGATCTGATGATTTTTCCTGTGGTGTTTGTTGCAAACTGCGATTTCCACTTGTGGAAACTGCCCATTTTCTAAAGCAAATGTCATATATATTTTGAGGTTGGGCACAGATTATAAGGACTGTCTTTTCCTAATTTACAGTTTAAAGATACTTTACAAGTAGCCTATGAATCTCAAGAGTTTGTCATGTTACCTCTCACTATTACATTGAAAAGAAACAGTGACACGTGCCACACAATTTATCAAAACCAGAAATATCATTCTTGCAGAGGCTGGAGAGTGGTATTTTTCCTCTCTAGTCCATCTACATAGTTTTTCTTTGGATAACTAATTTTATTTGCTACACACATATTTTGAATTTTAAAATATTTTCTGAATACAGGAAGAAGACATTTCAATTTAGTGCCTGTAGAGAAGCCAGGCATTTCTGTAAGCACTTCCTCTTCTCCTTACAGAACTGATTGATCTTGGCAACTCAGGATGCTGCTGATTTCAGCTAAAGTAACAGCAGATGAAATGATTCTTCCATGTGCCATAAACTAGTCTATTTTTGCAAAAGGAAATTCCTTTATTTGAACAATTAGCAAACTGACATTTCCTAAGATCATGTAAATTAATAGAAATGTTAGCATTTAGCACTCAACATCCTCTGTACCCTGGAGGCTGGATAAGTTATTAGTCATTTCTAATTAAAGTTGTCTTATGCCAGGCAGTCCCCAGTGACCACCACAATACCATTTCCTATGTAAT